CCACAAGCTCCTAATTGGGCTGTTTTTGTTTCCCCTCTTGCATAATATAATGGTGCCTCTTTTTTTTGGTTTAGACATACAGTATATATTCATTCCATCTTGCTAGCAGGCTTTTACTTCATCTCCTTGCTGCTGCACCCTCCACTTTAAGACAGTGAGAGATGCATAGGAAACTAGGCTACACATGTGAGATTTAGGTTACAGCACCTGGGCGGCCACAGCAGTCTTATAACTTAAGTGTCTTGCGGGTACGACAGCTGCACTGGTCTGCAGCTGAAGTCGAAGGAAAGGCGAGGAAAACACCTACTGTGCATACATGCAGATACAAACAAACATACATGCAGCTCATCAGGGAGGAAAGGGCTGGCGATAGTGGGTTAAAACAAACACACACACACATTTTTTTTTTAAGTAGGCTGCAAGAAACAGGTGGCATCTTCATGCACAACTTCGAAGCATCCTGTTGACCCACATAGCGGGACGGGCCGGTGTTTGATAGGGCATGTGCGGTCTACTTTCGGGTTGCGGCTCGCTCTCTCTCTCTCTCGGTCCTGGAAGCTAGAAAGCCGGTGGGAGCGTGTGTCGCATTAAGCTGACACACCGGGGCTATTTTTACACCAGGGGCAGGGAGTGGACCTCCTGCTCCGGGACTTCACCGTGCTGTCAGCGTGAATCGGAAGGATGGCGGATGTAAAGCAGGAGGAATAATGTGGATGTTATAGAGGAGGGGCAACTTAAACTGACATTTGTACACTTAAAAACACACACGAGGAAATAAGAAATATTAATAAAGTGGCGGAAATTCCTTTGTTAGAGCATAACGGACCTCTTTACTAAAGTAATAATACGCATATTGAGTTGACTATAAGAGGCTTTTATCGGCGGTTATCAATCCGCGATGTCGCTAACATTTCCCCCTGTCGCTACAGGGGGAAATGCGGCTGATAGGTGCGCCCCGGGGCGCAGTTAGCTTGTCAGATTACCGGTGTTAGCCGCTGTCAAAAAGGAGAGCCAAATTACAAAACAATGTTCAACCCAAGTCGATGAGTCGGTGTGATTTAAAAAAAAAAAGTAAGTGATACAAAGAGGAAACGGAGGTGACATAACAGCATCAAAAGAGAGAGGGGAGCGTCACTGTCTGCCGGCGGAGTGACCGTTAATCGAGCTAACCGCGGAGATGTACAATTGTTGCCGCGGTGACGGCGTCAGTTAGCTTACCGTGAGCAGGCTGATGTCTTCACTCCCTCCGCGGTGCTTCTGCCAGAGCAGCTTACAGACCGACGGTCCGCCGTACACCCTGCCTCTGCTGATTGTGAGCTCCGTTGCTCCTCCTCCGCCTTTTGCCTGTCTCTGTCGGAGCAGAGGAGCAGGGAGGGATGAAGGGAGGGAGGGAGAGAGAGAGAGAGAGAGAGAGAGAGAGAGAGAGAGAGGAGGAGGGCCGACAGCTCTGAACCCTGAGCCACGCGCCCACACACACGCGCAAGGAATGCACGAGAGCCGGCCCTCCAGCAGCCCACTCATCTCCATCTCGGTCCCTGCGTCTCCCTCGCTGCAGGAGCGGCTGTTTCTCTTTTCAACTCGGCTCAGCCTCCTTTACAACTACCGCAATAATCACTAACTACACTCGAATTCTCTTCTATCGGAGCTAAAAATATGCCTCATGTACCCTGTTACCTCATGTAGCCTACTTTAGTTGAGTATTAGCCAGCGTTTTGGGCCAAGCTGCTCCATCACAGCAAGGAAAAAAAGATATTGTGCTTTTCATATAATTTATTTATAGTTAAGATAACTTACTTCCATTAAAGCTCATGTAGTCTTAATAATATTATGCTAACAGTACATTCCCAAATAATAGCCATTACTGTGCAAAACTTTTGAGACACCCCTCATTTCTTTTTATTTTGCCAGGGAAATTGGAAACAGGTTCAGGAACTTACTGAAATATGCAAACATACATATAAATACATTATATAAACCAAACAGAGTTTGTACAATCCTAACAAGCTTGAAATGCAATATTTGGTGTGACCATCTTTGCTTTTCAACACACGCTAAACTCACTTAAGCAGCTTTCTTGTAATTTCTTTAAGTAGTCATCAGGAATAGTTCTCCAGGCTTCTTAAAGGACATTCAAAGATCTTCTTTGGATGTTTGCTGCCTTTTGTTCTGTTCTCTAGCAAGATGATCCCACACTGCAGGCACAGTCCAGTCCAGTCCAATCCAGTCCAGGCACTGGATTTGATTTGTGATTTGTGACAAAGTGCCTAAAGATTCAATTTAAATGTTGGTCTTTGCTAAGCTTTCTGTCATGTGTAAACACAACACCGCTTCTGATTCATGGTTCAGCATTAGTTAGCTTAATAAACAAGGAAAAAAATGTTTGAAAATGGTCAGGTAGAAGCCCTGGACTCAGTTTCCGTAAAAAATCAGCAAATGTCCAATGAAAAACTCTGGGAGACATTAAGAAATCCTGCAGAACTATTGCTCAAGACCAGTTAAAAAATACAAGAAAGTCTGGCTTTTTGAAACCAAAATATAAAGAACATACAGTGCTGTAATTAAAATAAAATAACTGCACTCTGCACGCTGTTACAGTTATGGGTGCTCGTATTAAATATCTAAATATCTATGTATGACAACTCTAAAAACTCAGTTTTAGGCAGTTTTTTTCTGCTCTTGAATCTGTAGGGAAAAAAATTATTTTTTAAAGAAAGGGGAAATTCGTAAATGATCATTTAGACCCTCTGTTTGCAACTGACAGCCAATTGGAAGAAAGTTGGCCTGGGCGGACGGAAAATAGAGGTAAGACATCTTGGTTCATACAGAGGACTAACTGAGGCCCAGTATAAGATGAATAAGGACTACTATGAATAATGCAAAGCTACCATACTGGGGTCTACTGATACAAATGTGGGGCTGGAAATGAGCATAATGGGTCCAGTTTAAGAGAACATTTTAACTGCAGACTCTAAATACGTACTGGATATGCACTGAAAGGAAGTTCACACTGGCAAATGATTTCTTAATAAATGACCCAACATCTCCAAGCATGAGTACAGAACAGATTTGCATAGCAGATCTGGTAGCGTCTCATCTGTCACTTGGAGACTGGCGTTAATGTGAGGAATGGGGGGGATCTGTTTTTAAATTTGAACTGTGTTACTTGTGCTCTTTATTAAGAAGAAAGTATGAATGTCACTTTCACTTCAGCTTCCAATCTGTTTAGATTTTTTTTTTAGCAGTTACATTTAAATATAATTTCATTAATTACAAGCATTAAAACAATTGTGGTATATTATTCAGACTGTATGTTTTAGCTCCTGCAATAACGAGCGTTTACAGTATGTAGGGCAATTTAAATATTCTACACGTACGGTATATGGCCTATGAATTGTGCAGTTAATTAAAAATCTGCCACGGTACAATGTTAGACCATTCAAAACCGCATTTAATTACAGAGACAAGAGCTGCGTGTGCACAGCCTATTGTGTGAGAATAATTAGACAGCCTGTTATATCACACGTTGGTTAGTTTACCTTGATGAATAGCAAATAAATCGCTGCCTCCTTTTTGTTTTCTGTTCAGGAGCCGAAGACTGGAGTATCCTTTACCCAACCACGTCTGTTGGGACTAACCATTAGTGCTACTCATGGCATTTACTCAAGTAAAAATGTCAAAAAGTGGGTTGTTGCGCGAGCTGGATGAAATCATATGTTTCCATTCATACAAAATCTTCATTTCATAAAACTAATGGTGTATTTAAAAAAAATGGTTATTACTTGAGTTTTACAGAGGAGAGCTACACTAACTAGCCACTTAATTAGCTAAACCTGTTAGACTGTTTGTTAACACAAAAAAACTAATCAGCCACTCACATCATAGAAACTCATAGTTTCGAACTGGTCATCTACTGGGATTTTCTCACACAACCATCTCTACAATGGTCTGAAAAAGGGAAAATATCCAGTGAACGGCAGTTCTCAGGGTGAACATGCCTTGTTGATATCAGAGGTCAGAGCTGCTTCAAGCTGATAGGAAGGAACAAGAAGTCAAAATAACCCAAATAACCACTTGGTACAACCGAGGTATCCATCTGCAACATTAAGATGGGAGGGTCAGAATTGGCAGTAAGCACCATGAAAGCATTGATCCATCCATTTCCATCAATAGTTCAAGCTGCTGGCGATCATGTGGAGGATATTTTCTTGGCACACCTTGGACCCCTTGTGCCATCTGAGTGTAATTTAAATGCCACAGCCTACCTGAGTATTGTTGCAGACTTTATCCATCCCTTTATGACCGCAGTGTACCCGTCGTCTGATGGCCGCTTGCAGCAGGTTAACAAACCATGTCACAAAGCTCAGATCATCTCAAACTGTTTTTTTGAACCAGTGAGTTCATTGTACTCAAATGGCCTCCAGAGTCACCAGATCTCAATCTAATAGAGATTCTGCAGACACGTGACATTAACTTGTCTGACTGTTGCACTTTTAGACGTATAACAATCCTGACATGTCAAGTGAGTGAAAAACCTAATAAACATGATGTAGATGAGATAAACTATGGCAACTACAAGTAAACAAACATGTCACATTATTATTTATGCATTTAAAAGTTCACCTGTGTTTAGTGTAAGTGTTTTAAAACCACCTTTGCACTTTTCCCCAGGTATGTCTGTTTTGTCAACTGCAAATTACAATAAATTTGAATATAACATATCCAAATGAGCTGAACCTGCCGCTGAAAACCAACCCCTAGTTATATTTGTGTATTTATAATAAAACGGTTTGGCCATCACAGCAGATATGACCTTAGAGGCCTTAGCTGCAGGAGGCTTGTATACTTTATCAACATGTCAGTGTGCGCTAACCACAGAGGACCTTTCAGGCTGACTCATCTCCTTCTAAGGTTTCACCACAAGATACGCAAGTTAAAAGGTATCTTTTTACGTGGATGACATCGAGCTTTATATCACACCCAGGTCTGTTTTAGTGATACTGAGGTCATCTTTGCAAACATAATGAACTGAGGGGATGACCCCGCCTGCTAGTTTCCCAGGACAAAAAAAGAGTCCCTGAGTTCCCCTGTCAAACACCCTGTATTTTTCGTGCTGCGTGAACCGATTGATCGGTTGTAGAGCTCATGACTGAAAATTCATTAGGAAATTACAATCTGTAAACTCACAAAGGACTGAAATGAAAAGCTCTTCAAATTAGACTGAGGAGTTTTGGTCTTAAAGGTATTTTCCCACCTTATAAGATTGAAAATAACTACAGTACACCCCGTGATTCAGCATATTTAATCACCTTTAGCAGCGACAACTTGAAGTAATCATTTTCTGCATGGCTTGATGCATGCTCAATCATCCAGGAAAGGTTGATTCTGTTCATCTGGACGTAGCGTTTTCAGTGCGAGAAACATTTCGTCACTCACCCAAGTAACTTCTTCAGTCTGAGCTGACTGCAGGTTTCCCCAACCTTTAAATAAGTACATTGCACAATGACTGAAACTAGCGCCACTGAATAAACAATGGGCTGTGAAGTCAGCTCCTTGATCATTAATATGCAAATTCTCATGACCATTGATAAACAACTACTGATCAAAGCCCATGTTATCAATAGCTTCAGTTCATTGAGGTCTGTGTGCATTGATTTATCCACAGCTATCTTAAAATCCTGCCACATCATTTCATTTGAGCCACTGCAAACTCTTGATTCTTATCTTTTTCTGTCATTCTGTTGCAGACGAGTAGCCGTGCAGCTTGTGTGCAAAGATCATTGTTCTGTTGCGTTACTCACTTGGGGTCAAGCGTCAGCTGTCAAACAGATTCAAGCTGCCCAAGTGCAGTGGCTGCAAATCAAGCCATCACCATCAGCCCTCCACCACCATGCTAGCCTTAGACATGAAGTGTTTCTCCATTATGGCCAGACTTCTCCACTTCTCCATCCAAACGACATTGTTCCAGAGGTCTTGCGGTTTTTTCAGATGCAACTTTGCAAACCTAAGCTGTGCTACTACTTTCTTTTTAGAGAGAAAAGAATTTCTCCTGGCAACTCTCCAAGCCATACTGTACTGGCATGACCTTTAACATTTAACACGCTAACTAAGGCCTGTAAAGCACGAGATGTAGCTCTTGGGACTTTTTTGAGTCTGAGCTTGGGGGAATTTACGGGGATGTCCACTCCTGGGAAGAGTGTGGCAATGTGGTAACACACACCTGAATGCTCCAGACCAGCAAACTGCCACAACATGAGCTTTTATAGAGGCGCTCACACTCTCTGATGATCACTTAATCAAGTGGATTTAATTAGCAGCACCTGGCTGATAGTTCCCCTGCCTTCTTACGGAAGTATTTAATGTCTCACCGCAAAAAATCCTTCAAAATCTTTCTTTTAACATGAGTGTAGATGTGTTTTTGTTTGGGA